TTTTCACCCTCTATATTAAATTTGTCACCAATGTCTGTTGATCTCACCTTTGCAACATCTCTTGAATATGCCTCCTTCTCTCCTCTGACACTATAACCACTGTGGTGCTGGCCCTTGTCACCACATGCCTGCACTATTGAAATAAATTGCTGGTGGGTCTGCCTGTGTCAAGTATTTCCCCACTCCAATCTATCCTTCATTCAGCCACCAAAGTAATTTTCCTAAAGTGCAGGTCTGACCATATCACCTCCCTACTCAATAAACTTCATCAGTTCCCTGTTGCTTCAAGATCAAATACAAAATCCTCTGCTTGGCATTCAAACTCTTCATAGCCTAGCCCTTCTACCATTCCAATTTCCCTTATTCCTTGCCATGTACTCTTCAATTCAGTGACGCTGTCTTCTTTGCTGTTCCTCAAAGAAGGCACTTCATCTCTTGGGTTGGGGAATTTTCTCTGGCTCTCTCCCATTCCTGGAATGCTTCTTCTCCTCATCTCTGCCTACTGGCTTCCCTGGTTTTTTTATGTCCCAACTAAAATCCCATTTTCTATGAGAAGCCTTTCCCAACCCCTCTTAATTCTAGTGCCTTCCCTCTGTTGATCATTTCCTGTTTGTTTTGTATATAGCTTGTTTGATTGTTGTCTCCCTCTTTAGGTTGTGACTTCCTTGAGGGCAGGTACTATCTTATGCCTCTTTTTGTATCTCTAGCACTTAGCACAATGCCCAACACATAGCAGGTACTTAATAAATGTTTATTGTTTATAACTGATTAATACCTGTATTCTTATGGCACTGTTGTATGTCTCTGAAGAATTAAAAATCAGTGGCACCCAGAGGACAATTGAAAACACATAATCAGTGTGAGTAGGCTATAACACATTACAAATAGAGAATCATTAAGGAGAAGTAGAATTAAAAAATGGCAAAAAAGTTAAGTGAAAAAGATGATGGTCTGTTCGCATGTAGAGAGAAAGGGATATCTGGTTTTGTGCCCCATTGGTATCCTTGTGATATCAAGAGAAAGTGAGAAAGATTCCTAGTGGTTTGTGTGGATTTCCTTTGGTAAACTCATAAAAGGATTCAGACAAGAATCACATATAATGGGCAGGCATGGATGGGTTTCAATCTTTATCAGTGTAGGGAATCTCTACATTGATTAGATTTTTGATCTGTTTAGGTATTTGAACATTTTATTTTAGTATAAACGTAAATTATGGGATAAATATGTTTTTGTGGGTTAATCTGGGGAAACCACTGTGACATTGAGTTTCAAAAGTTGACTTAAAAATGAACTTCTGAATGTCACTTCATAAATTAAGGACTTTCCACCATATCTTACCTGAAAAAACTGAAGGGAACAGGCTATGTGGGCAAGAAGGGAGCACTGTTGATTATACATATTCTGATATGGGAATTTCAAAACCTCATGAATCACAAATAAAAGTATAACCATAATTGTATTTCTAGGTAAAACAGTGTCATGTGTATTATAAGGCACATAATAAATACTTGTTCCTTTGAAGCCATGCCTTGGCTATTCATTTTTTGCACCATGGTGATGATGATAGCTAACATTTATCTAGTGCTTTAAGATTTTCAAAGTGCATTACAGATGTCATTTTATGTTCACAACAGCCCTGGGTGTTAGATGCTGTTATTATTATTATTGTTATCATCATCACCATTTTACAGATGAGGAAACAGACTGAGAGTTTAAGTTATTGTCCAGGGTCACACAGTATTTAATATCTGAGATCAGATTTGAGCTCAGTTATTTCTGCCTCTAGCTCCCATGTTCTCTCGATGTGCCAGCCTGAAGATTGTAAATTTTCATACTGTTTGCAATTTTTGCTTTTGCATTGAAAATGCCAAATGCTTAATGAAAATTTAGTTTGTTGGTGTGTATCATTTCATTATTGAGTGAGCCTGATATAATAAATATTGTTATGATTTTCCATATTTGATCAGGTTTACATTCAAAGACCAGAGTATAACTAAGAGCAAGACCATTCTATAAAAATCTCAGTGTATTAAGTGGATTTTAAAAATATTTGCCTTGTAAATTACAAGTATTTTTTTTTGCTTACAGATTATCTATCTTACACAGCTTTTAACTTATACCTGGAAAAATAATAAACTGCCAAGATGTAATCTACAAACTTGATACATTTTTTTCAAACTTGACATATTTTTTGTAATTTTCAATGCCATACTAATTTCCTCCCTTGGAATGTAATGGGAGAATAATAGAAAGTAAATGTCAGATGTACATTTTGTTGATTAACTGTCACTGGTTTATGAGCGTACAGCTGTTTTGTACAATGTGATAGTGTGGTTTAGTAGTAATAATAGTGATAAAATTTTTAGTGGCATTATCAACAATAGTAAATATACCATTCTATTAACTAAAACTGTGCAAACAGATTTACCCCTTTTGTATGTTCTTCAGATAACTGCATAAAAATGTTTCTGTGTTCAGTCACAGTCAGCCATGAACTACATTAAGGTAGAAAAGTGAAATTATTAGAAAAGAAATAAGTACCATTACTAAATAAACTTTGATGTAGGCAGGGAGTTTTGTTTGCTTTTATATGTATTTCATCTTTTCATTTTCTGTTCAGATATGATTTAAATGAGATAGCAGAAAGCTATAGAAAATGGAAATGTTTTCCTATATATAAATGCAACACTTGCTTATTTAGATTTTGCCTTTAGTTCTTTTCTCTGTATATCTGTGTTTTGGGGAATTATCAATTATGAGAAATAAATTTAGTAATCTTCTACTTAATGATTTCAAGGGCAACTTATCTTTAAATTGTAGAAGTAAGTTGTCCTTGAAATGACAAATTTTAGCAGATTTTTAAGTTTGTCTTTATTGCTTTTACTCTATTTGCCTTAGCTTTTGGTAGTAAGTTTCCAAAGCAAAGTGAAGGTTGAATTATTCAGATTATTCAAGCAAAGTCTTTTTTTTTTCACTCCTAATTGTTTAAGTCACATCATAAGGTTGCTTGTTTGTTTGTGAGGCACACAGCTAGTTAAGTGACTTGCCCACAGTCACACAGCTAGGAAATATGTGTTTGAGGCCGGATTTGAACTCAGGTCCTCCTGACTCCAGGGCTGGTGCTGTATCCATTGCACTACCTAGCTGCCCCCTATAACATAAGTTTTATCAAACACTTTGGTAGTAAAAAAAATTTAATTGTGTCAGGAGTGATAAGTCCTATTTAAATGAGTTTTTTTTCAAAGTGTCATTATGTTTAGGATATAGCTGGGAAGCCATTTTTGAACAAACAGTTTGTATCCATAAGCATAATAATAACATTAATGATTCCATGGACCCTGGAGGGCTCAACAGGAGCAGGTCCCTTGGGCAGCTTTTCAGTCCAGCCTCTGTACCAACTCCTCTTTTCCTTTCCTGCCTTCTTACTAGACATTTACCTTCTATCCCCACCCCATGAAGGAGTGATCCCAGAACCCTTGATTGACTCTGGCCTCAGAATCCCTTCCCCATCCCACATCCTCACTCTTCCAATATGGCATCCCATACCTTTTGGGTGAGCGGAGAGTCACCAACTATATTCCTTTTGGTAAGATGGAGGACTACCAAGTTCTACCATCCACCCTCCTGTTATACCCCTTAAGACCCTTGGATATTACCGTTTGAACTCCTGATGCAACTTAAGGAACCCAAGACCTTAACTAGAACTTTTCTTATACTCAGCACTGTTTTGGTGGGGGATGAACTGAGTGTATACAAATAATCTTCCTATATATAATATAATATCATGTAATATAATGTACTATACTACAACATAATATAACATAACATATATATATGTATATGTAATACAACCATTACTTTCCACTCGGCAATTTTCCATCAACCCATCAGCTACTTTCTTACCATAATATATCTATACACTTGTGTGTGTATGTGTATGTAGACAGGAGAACAGAGTAAAGGCCTTGAAATGAAGTAGAGCTAGCTTTTCTCCTCAGTGTTCTCCTGACTAGAAATGACTGAGGTTGTAGGGTTGCCATATAATAAAAGAATTCTTGGGTTTGGTACGGTTTATGAATTATTGATTGGGAAGTACAATTGTTTGGAAGATACTCTCCTTTATTTCCATTTCTTTCTCAGACAGTGGTTAATCAACAAGCACTTACTATGTGCCAGACACAGAGACAACAAGGAAACATCCCTGCCATGAAAGAACTTACATGCTATTGCAAGAAGCTATGTATAAACACATAAGTAAATGCAAACTATTTGCAAGTAAATACAAGGCAGTTTTTGGTAAAGGAGGCACTGACTGCAGGGAGATTCCAGAAGGGCCTCAGGTAGGAAGTGCACTTGAGCTAGGCTTTGAAAAACAGCTTGTGGAAGGACAGAGAAATGAGAAATGCAATGCTGCATGTGAGGACGATCAAGAGAGCCAGTTTAGTTGGATCAGACTTAGGAAGGGGAGTAATGTAGGATAATCCTTGGAAGGTAGGCTGGAGCCAGATTGTAAAAAGCCTTTAAATGGTGAAAGGAAGAGGTAATAGGGAATCAATGGAGTTTATCAAACAGGGTCTGATCATTTTGAGAGGCAGGGAGACCCATTAAGAGGCTATTGCAATAGTCCAGGTGAGATGTGATGAAAGCTTGAAGTAGGGTGGTGGATGTGAGTGTAAAATAAGGGATGAATGTGAGAGATATTGTGGAGGTAGAAATAATAAAATTTGGCATCTTATTAGATTTGTGGGGTGTGAAGGAGAGTAAGGAGTTGAAGATCACTGTGAAGTTGCTAATCTGGGTAACAAATGCTGGAAGTCCCCTTCAAAGAAATAAGAAGTTTGGAGATTGGTCACATGGTTATCTTTCCATGGTTAATATTTTTGGATAAGAAAGGGCTGCCAAGGCACTTTATTACTGTTGGTTTAACTTATAGAATGCTTCCAGAATGTATCCCTGACTGTATTTGGTGTCAGTAACTGTGCTAATTTCTTGTTATGTAGGATTCATTCAGTTGATGATGATATCCTCAACTTTAGCCTGGAGTTCACTAATTGGAAGCGGCTTCCCCTTGCTGTTGAAAAGATCCTCTCTGCTCATGCAGAAAGCTCTTCCTGGGTCCCACTAAGTCATTTTGGTGAGCCATTTGGTTTTTATATTTGTATTTGTATTCCCTTTGTCCTCCCCTGCCCTCTGGGCCATGACTTTAAGTTGGAAACATCTCTTTAGACTATTGTGGTACAAGACTGTAAAACCAAAAATAAATCAGGTGCAAAAATAAATCAACTGAGAAAAAGCATAGTTTAATTGCCTTAAGCTAAAAGGAGAGCTAGTTTTCCAAGTGAAATAATTAGTAAAGCAGGTGTTCAGAACTTATACTTCTATTTAGTGATATCCTCATTTTTGGAGTTTACTCTAATTAAAATGTATCTTTAAAAATGTCTGGTTAGTAAATGAACTTAAGTGGTGATCTGATGAACATTCAGTTAACTCTAATGTCCTAACTTGAGAGTATAAAGAGTTTTATTCATTCTGTAAAATCAAATGAAATTATGTACGTAAAGGGCTTTGTAGTGATAAAGTGTTAAATTAATGTGAGTTATTTTCAACTAACAATTATTAATTAACTACCTACTCTATTCAAGGCACAATACTAAGCACCTAGTATACAATGACAAAAGTGAACTAAACCCCACCATTGAGGACTTTGTGTCCTAATGGGCTAGACCACATATACATAAGATACATACAGCATACATACAAGGTAATTTTATTGGGGAGGCAGTTATGTTTGAGTGGAATCTTGAATAAAACCAGCAATTCCAACAGGCAGAGGTCATGAGGGAAAGCATTCTAGGTAAGGAGGACAGCTAGTGAAAGGGAACAGAGATAGAAAGTGGAGGGGAGTAATATGTAAGACTAGAAAGGAGCCAGATTATTAAAAAGTTTCAAATGGCAAACCAAGCAGTTCATACTGTCCCAAAAAGTCTTAGTGAAGTTTTAAACTATTAAAATTTAAAACTATACTAATTTTTTGGGGGATACTCTGTATAGGTAGGTTAAACTATTAAAATTTAAAAGTGCACTAAGACTTTTAGGACACCCTGTATTTGGTGTTAGAAGTAATAGGAAACAACTGTAAGTAGTGGGCATTGTACACCATGCAAATTGGCAAAAATGTCAAAAAAAATGGCAATGGTCAATGTTGGAGGGATTGTAGAAAGATAGGCACACTAATGCATTGTTGGTAGAGCTGAGAAATGGAACAGATATTTTGGAAAGCAATTTGGAATTATGCAAAGTGGTCCTTTGAACTAGAGACTCTACTACTGGGCTAATGGCCCAGGGAAGCAATTGATAGGAAAAAAGTCTTCATATTTTCCAAAAGATAGCAGCACTTTTTGAGAGACCTAAGAAATGGAAAGAAAATAGATGCCCATCAGTTGAGGAATAGCCAAAAAAACCCCAAACTTGTGCTACATGAATGTAATGAAATATGAATATGCTTTAAGAAATGATGTGTGTGATGAATACAGAGAAGCATGGAAAGATCTATGTGAACTGATGCAGAGTGAAGTAAGCAGAGCCAAGAAAACAGTATGCAGACTAACTACAACAATGTAAATGGGAAGTACAATGTAACTCCTCCCCTCCCCCAATCAAACGAATATGTAACAAAGTTTTAAATATCAAACAGGACTTGGAGTGAAGAGATATGAGAAAACACCCTTAACTCACTCCTTTGTGCAGGTGGGAGGTCCTCAGGTGTTACACATTGCATGTATTTTCTGATTTTTTCCAATGTATTGATCAGCTATGCTGGCTTTCTTTTTTCCCCTCTCCAAATAATGCTATTTATAATATAGGATGGTTCTCTGAGAATGGTAGGGGAAAAGATACATGGGATACTATATTGAAGTAAGAAACCAAAAATATCAATGAAGTGTGCATGTGACCATGTGACATACCTGCTCAAAAAAAAAGAGTAAGGGTTATATAATCAGAATGCTTTGTATAAAATTATTACATTGTACCATATCTATTTTAACTTGCTAGTGCAATAGGGTGTCATAAGTATTTCCTGTGGAGGTGGACTGAAACTAATTTAGATTTTGTGAGCTAGTTGGTATTTAAAAAAAATAACTAGTAGACTTCATTTTGCTCTCATTTTGACCCATTTGTTGAAGCTAGTTGAAGAAATTAAAAAAGGCTCAATAGAAAAAATCTTAGTGTAAGAAAAGCACGTCTAAGCTAGCAATAGTATGTCAAAAGGTCTTGAAGCTATTCAGTTTAAGCTCTGTAGTTTAAGGGGCATAAAACATGATATGTCTCTTTAATTTTTGTAGCTGTTTCTTTTTTGTGTGTGTGTGATGTGCTTTATATTTACATTACAGCCATTTGCCATCTCCACCTCCTGATTGAAACTGCTCTTGTAATAAAGAAAAACAATTAAGCAAAATTATCAAATATAGAGACTCACATTTTTAAAGATGTGCACAATATCCTGTCCTGGTAGTTTTCCTTTTCCTTTCTGTCAAGAGGAGGGAAATATGTGTTTCCTTGTGTCTTTGTGGGACTTCCACTGCTTTTTCCACTACTCAGAATTTTGCTTCTTTTTAGCAATCTTTTTCATTTATATTGAGAGACAGTATAGTATAGTGGAGAGAGAATCTGACATTAACCCTGTCTTCTGACAAAGGCCTATCTTCTCTGTCTCTTAGTTTCCTCCTTTTTAAATTGGAAATAATAATACTTCTAATTCTTCCCTCAGAGAGCTGTAAAGAGAGTTTTGTTTTTTTGTTTATAAATTTTAAGTTGCAGTATAAATATAATTATTATTATCAGGTTGAATGGAGCTATTAGATACCCAGTGAGGAAAGATAATAATCTGAAGTTCCTGTTAGTTTTCAAGTACAGAGGTATTTTTTCCCCCTTAATATTGTGGTTCTGACTTGCATGTAATTCTTAACATTGAGTGTTTGTTCTGATGATATCAATTATGTACCCACATCCATAAAGAACAAAAATCTATTCAGTACAAAAAGATGAGAGACAGTGGTTTTGGTAACAGAGTCAAAAGAAAGGACATATGCCAAATGGGAAAATTAGTGCAGTGTATCAATTAGGAAAGAAATGGGAAGGTTTACTCTGAAGACCTTAACATATGGCAAGTCTTTCCCAATGAAGGCAAAAAATGTTTGCATGAGTGCATTAACTCCAAAACTGAATAAATCCATTAATACTTTCTCTTTTAATTAGGCACTTGCTAGAGCTTGTGTAGAGTACTAATCATCCTATTGTAAGAAGATTTTTGTTCTGGTTGAAGATTCAAAAGAATTTATCTCATAGGCATTTATGTTGATTTTTTTTTTTGGTATCATTGAATGTACTGAATATTTAACAGTCTTCTTTAAGTTCCAATTTTTTTCTGAATTATCCTCTAATTCAAGGGAATTAGTAAGAAAACTATTGTCTTGTTATTAATGCAGCCCTGTAGATTGATTACTGGAATATAAAAGAAATTGTGGGATGAAGTGTTTATTTCAGCAGAAATAGTTCCTCTCCCCTAGATGGTATCAGTGCTTGAGGTGCAAACAGTGCTAGTAGGCTACTCATACACACAGTGTTTTCAAAGGTAAAGGCTTGCCTGTCTGGAAATGTTTGAAGGAACACAGAACCATTTTATTTATAATGGTTGGTATCTATGGATGGTTGGGTACTGTAGATAACTAAAAAGAAATACTGTATCACTCTGCACCACTATCTCACAGGTCCTAAGAATCTCTAGATCCTTCTAGAAGCATAGTGTTCTCTCCACCCACTCCCATCCAACAAGAGACTTATTCCTTATTCCAAGACAGCCAACTATAGAAGGTGCACTTACATCTTAGGGAGACTTTGACTTGATCTTGAATTAAAAGATCAGAAAATGACTTGAAAGTGTTAGTTGATTTTGCACTTAATTTTATAGGAAAGGTTGTTGTCTCAACCTAAGAAATCAAATCTCTATTTAATAGCTTTAAGTCTCCTAGCAGTGGATTTTAGGTTCTCTTAAAAGTATATTTTACCTTTGTTTCTGCTGAGACATTCATATTTTAATATAAGGGAGAGCTTGACCCTACCTCAACCAGTTATATAGATTTAGTATCCATTGCAATATTTAAACTAGTGAGTATACATCTGGAAATACCACTTAGCATTAAAACTTTAACAGACATTTTGCACACACAATTACTATATACATGGATTTAAAACCACCTTAGTACTCAACAGCAAGTTAAGCAAAAATGGCACCGAAGGGCTAGGGGTAATAATCCACAGATTAAAAACTCCCTCAGTCCAGATGAACATATTTCTGAGCAACTATGGTTCATCAAGTCAGTGATCTGTTAAAGCCTCAGTAGAACAAAAATGGTGCTATTAAAATTGAGATCAATTCTTAAAGTGACCATTCTTTCATTCTGAATACCTAAGTCTTTTAAGACCTAACTAAGGTGATTAACTGATTTCAGTGTTAAGAAAACATCAAAGAATTAAGATATCACAGCTTCTGGAGAACATTACTCTAGCTGAGTCTAGGTCCATGCGACAAACGCAAAGCATGCAGCATGAGCTCTCCCATCTGACAAAGGGTCATATTTGCAGCTGTTATTTATTTTACTGTGATATTTAAGATTAAAATGGGGGTAATTGACTTGAAAGCAATGGAAACAAATGTACTATGTAGATGCTACATTAATAGTTATTGAAATATGATTTATGAAGCTTAAGAAGCTATCTGTCTGTGCCTTAGATCCAGCTTTCATATACAAATTGAAGTGCGGTTTCTGTTTAGTCATTTAACTTTTGGAATTTGGGAAGTGACTGGCAATGTCAAGCTCTTCCTTTTCTTGATCTATTAATCTTTGCTGTATTTCACAGGGATTATATAAACTTAATGGACTAACAGAAAAGCTATGTTCTTGATTCACATGAAAGTGTGATTGTTTTTCATTTTTGTTAGTTCTCATGGATATTAACCTTTGTAAACACTTTTTCATTTTTATCTTGGGAATTAAGTTGCTGCCATGAAAAAAAAATCATTCCTATAGAAGTCATTGAGGACTCTTCTTTTGATTGAAATTGTCTTTATATGTATATATATATATATATATATATATGTGTGTGTGTGTGTGTGTGTATACATACACACATATACATATATACATATTATATATACATACATACATACATACATATATAATATATACACATACACACATATCTTTAAAGTTTTATGCTGTTGTGCTTAAATTTAAGAGGATATTTCTGGCAAGTGGTTCAAGGTGCTTGATTTGGTACAGCTGGAGGCTGTTTGCTCTGGGCAAAAAAAAAAATGAGGCATTTTTTGTTGTCCTTTGTCTATTACTGGACCTAGTAGAATTCTTTCCTTGATTTGCATTGGTGTTGCTAACTGTAGAATTTGAAGCCTTAAATTGCATAATGGTATTGTTGCATCCTTTTATTTTAATTTTTTTTTAACATCTTGATTTTGTTTATTTCTACAGTCTCTGTTCCTTCTCTGACTCACCTCTGCCGCTTGGAAATTCGGTCCATTCTAAAACCGGAACGCCTGCGATCTGATAATTTTATCCGTCAATTACCTCTTCCCACTAGCCTACATCATTATCTGCTCTATGCAGAAGTCTTGAGAATGAATGAAATTCCTGAACTGATACTTACTCAGAATGGAGAGACCATTGAAACCAGTTAATGGCTCATTTATTACTTTGAAAATGAAGAGGAGAGTTGTGAAGTTGCTTCCTATGATTGGACATTAAAACCAGGGGACTTTAGCTCATGCCTGGGGCTTTTCCTTATGAAACCATCTATTGTGAAGTGCTGTTATTGCTGCATTGCTGGTTTATGCTATAAACCTTAGTCATGTTATTTGCTGTGGTATTTGTTTTGTTGAACCATTTCCTCCCTTTTCATTGAAATTTTCAACTTGTTCATCCTTTTATGAATTTTGGATCTGGGCTGTGCTGCTGCTTCTTAACACTAGTGATTTAGAAAGGATGTTTTCATCAGCTGTTCTGTATTTACCTGGATTGGAAACATTTAGTGGAATGTACGTAACCTCAGTGGAGCTATTCACAGTGGATGTTGAGCATTTTGTATAGATTGGCTATATTGTTGATAAAGAAACTAGTTCCTCATTCCTGCTGTATCCTTTTCTCATTTCTTAAACTATACTGACTTTTATGAACAATTGATTTTTCATATGTAACCTCAGGGAAGAATTCTTTTGAAAATTATGGAAATTTGTTCTTTCTCCCAGTTTCTTTCTTCCTTTTATCCTCTCTTTATCAAAAGATTCAATTTTTTAAGTTTACAAGAGCAGGGACAGATCTGGATGCAAGCACATACTCAGTTGAAAAGATAATCAGGTCTGTATTGACACAACCCTTTAATTCGATTCTAAACACTATGAAGGAGTCATTTTCTACCATCTTTAAAGAAATAGTGTCTCTCCTGGGGTTCCTCATTTCAATATTCAGGTTAGACTTTATGACCTTTAAAGTCCCTTCTTATTCTGACATTCTATGATTTATGATTTAGAATTCAAGCTTAATTCTGGCCTTGTATTAAAGGTGTCAGTTTTGAACCTTTGTAACTGAGTGATAATTCCTTTAACATTTAGTTACATAAATAAGATTATCACTTGACTAAAAATGAACACACACACACATACACCTGTGTGTGCGCACATACCCACATATATATAATGCATATAAAAATCATTCTAAGTTAGTGAGTTGCAGAAAAATTTGTTTTCTGGATGCATTGAGTAAGAAGTTGATCAGTAGTCAGTGGTCACTAGATAGTGATTCTGAGTGACTGGGGGACCTGTGGTCAGTCAGTATAGAATCTCTGTACTTTGACAGATGTGCTTTGACTCCAGACTTGATAGCAAAGAAGTCGTGAATGTTCTTTGGTGAATTCTGTCCTCATCTACCAGGAATAAGCCAAGTTCTTTGTCATTGTGCTGAGATGAAATGGCTTAGAACATAGCATATGGGCATAAGTCAACAGTGTCCGTCTTTGCTGGGGCTTGACTTTTGTTCAGTTGAGGTAGTGTGGAGGCTAGAGCAAACAGTGGTGGTTTTTTTTTATGGCCCAAAGAAATAGCCAAAACCTCGTACTTAAAAGAATTGTTGCCGCAGTTGCCAGTATTTTGCTTCCCACCTTTGCCGTTGCCGTTGCTGAGGAGAGAAGTTGGAGCTACTAGAGATGCTTGATCATTTGGGTTCATTTGTGGATATGTGACGAAATCTGATTTGTGGTGAAGAAAGTGAAAATTGTGGCAAAGAACTGAATTTTTAAAAATGATTCCTAAATCTGGGCCAGAGCAAGTCATTATTGTGTCATAGTAATATTCATTTTTCACATTTTCTTTGTATATTCTTGAGTAATATTTCTATTTTTATTAAATGATCATGATGAAGAAAAATATAGGTAGATTTTTTGCTGTGGCTAAATGTGTCTTTGTTTGGTTCATGTTATTTAGATGCACAATAAACAAATCAATGGCTAACCATTCAAGTTGGGCTCTCAATGATTAAATATTCATATATTGGAAGCTCTTGCCTAAATAACTCAGGATGGTTCTTTGGTGTTACCTTCCATATGGTGTCACACTGGGCCTCAGACTTAGCATTTGAGCTTCCATCCTGGGGCTCTATACTGCTGATGAGTGAGAATTTACTATATCTAGTGTCTAGACCCACCATGCTACACTCTGGCCACCTTCCTGCCATGCTGCCCTGCTCTGTGTTTTCTTTCTGCCTCTAGCTCTGAAATCAATAATCAAGTCAATATTATAATTTCTGGAGAGGTTGTGTCAATCGGTTTCACTATGATTCCATTTACCATCCCTGTCAAAACAAAATATCCCCTCCCTGGTCACCACTCCGTCATATCTGTTTTCTTCCATTAGATTGTAAGGTCCTTGAGACCAAAAACTGTCTTGCTTTTTCTATATGTATCCACATCATTTAGCACAGTGCCTGGCACATAGTAAGCCTTTAACAAATTATTTTTTCATTCATTCATTCATTCATTCATTCATTCATTCAACTTTTGAGACAGCTAAATGATATAATATTTTACTCACTTGGATAAAAATAACCTTTTTTGTGCAAGTCTTTAATATATTTTTATTGCTTTTAAGAACCTGTGTTAAATATGAAGTTGAAGTAAACTTAATTGGATTTAAATAATAGATGAGTACATTGAGTCAGCCTTAAAAGAAACTACAGTCCTTTTACATATTTGCTTCTTTACAGAAATCATGGTAAGTGCAGAGAGAATTGGGAAGGGAGCCTAATTAGAAATTCGATATATTTTGACTTTCTAGCATTTCTTTTTAAGTATAATTTTATGGGAATCTATATTTAGGGAAAAATTCTGAGCAGACATCTAAGGGTTAGGGAAAATGATAGAAGATAATGGCAGTGGCTAGGTAAGGCCAAAGTAGTTTCTGTTGTCTACAATAGGGGTTTTAGGACTCATGGTTTTTAAAAAATTATTTCAGAACTTCATCCATTACTCTGCTTTCATAAAATCTCATGAAGCCAATTTCAACATAAGTGATTGGTTATAAAAATCTTTGATGAAGAAAGTCTTGGGCATTTCAAAATACCTCCTTCCTAGTATCTTTCCCCTGAGTTTTTGCTTTTCTTCCCCAGAAATTAACATGAAGATTCAAGTCAGCAAGTAAGAGGCTTCGCTGATGTCTCTATATGGTCCAAGAATAGGTTTCTCCTGCTAAAGTCTACTAAAGGACTGAAGGCCAGGAAAGGAATGCCATAGATTTGAGCTTACATTCAAATACTGTCTCAGAGGAAATGTATTATGAATGATCTTGGTTAAATACAGATTGAATTTAAAGTATTAAGGGATATAACAATATTTCCTCACATGCTTAATTTTAAAAATTAATTAAGTCTTCTTTCTTGAACAAACTTTTAAGTTTCTTTCTATTGGGTATATTCTCCTTATTCTTTCATATTGCACCATTTTTTGTGTTCTTTGAGGCTATATTGGTTTTAAGCTTATACAATAATTAGTTTATTCATATAACTGAACAACTCTTAAGCATGAAATAGGCCATCTCATTCAAGATGCCACAGTACTTATTTCCTTTTCGAGTTGATAAAATCCAAGTGAGCTTTAGTAATGTATGTTTGTAATTTACTTTTGTGTTGGAGCTGCAGAGAAATTCTCCTTTTCCATTTGCAAGGGGCAAATTACTACAAGGGGCAGCTAGGTGTCACAGTGGATAGAGCATTGGCCCTGGAGTCAGGAGGAACTGAGTTCAAATCCGACCTTAGACACTTACTTAGCTAGCTGTGTGACCCTGGGCAAGTCACTTCACTCCCATTGCCTCCAAAATAATAGTAATAAAAAAAAGAAGTAAAAGAAAATCTTACTGCTTCAAACAAATTAGAGGGAAAGTCAGAATTAAGTAAAAAGTTGAATTATAAAATATTTTTAAAGGAATGTACTTCTGTTCTGTTTTCAAGCTTTGAAATGCTCAACAGTGTCACATGCTACAGGAGGGTCAAGAAGGATGAATCATATCTCATTTAATATCTTTTCTCTTCGGTTTCAAGATAAGTTTTAGTTGAACCTAATGTTAAAAGTTTATAAATTCTGAGTGGGCGGAGTGGAATAGTCAAGATTTGTCTCTTGATTATTTCTTACAACAGCATTGTAAAGTATGACATTCCCACTTTTTAGAGAAAGAAACGAAAATGTCTGATGCTCTCGCTTCTTTCTGAGTATATGTATATCAGTATACTATCAAATTTCTGAATATCCAGTCTGTTACTTTACCACTGAGTTATTCTGCTATGTCATGTGTGGTCTGTATTGTTAATGAAAGAATTTAAAACCCATTTGTGACAGTGAAGATTGGTGTCTGCAGAATTTTTCTGTCTCTTGGCTTATATTTCATGCATGGCACTAATAGATGAAGTAGAGCAGGTGGTAATTGCCATTGGAGCATTGAGACTTGTGAACAGCATCTGTTTATGTCTCCTTTACCATCTAATGGTTATCATAACCTCTCCTATTTTCTGCTTTCCTATGTGGATGATAAAAGTCCATCATGAGTCATTAAAAGGTGCTAATTTAAACCCTGACTTGACAAAATAAATTGAGAAGAAGGTCCATCTAGTGATTGGTTATGACTATCACTTGAAGTGAGTGGTTAAAAAAAAAAAGATCAATTCTGAGGTTAATATGCATATTTGCATCAAATAATATGAGCTAAAGGGATTAATTCCAAGTCAGAGTATTGTTTTAATGGAAGAGTTAGTTAATAAAGCACATGCATTGGCCTTTATAACTGTTACTGTACTTATAATTATTTCAGCATGTAAAGGATTCAAAACCTTTTTTCATCCAACTGTAATGTCCATATTATACTACCTATATATGCTAATTAAACAAATACTGAGTGTGTGCATACTCACATGTATTTGTGAGTACACAAGTGTCAGCTATGTACCAGTGCTTAGCACAGTGCCTGGGACATAGTAGGCATGTAATAAATGTTTATTCAAATTTGACATGTAAATCCTGGAAAAGTTTTTCCTAAGCTGTGATTAGTGAAACTTGATGTTTGAGGTAAAAGCTCATGGGGTTTTATTTTGAGGTGTCTGATGGATTATAGTAATCCACTGATAATCAAAAATCCATTATCTGAGAGAAATGCCACAAGCTACTCAGAGAGAATGTGTTACTGATGGGAAGTCAACATCGGGAAAAGCTGAAAGGACAATTTTAGCCTCAATCTAAGATGGGATCTTCCTGGCTCAGTTTCCCCATTATGTTCTTTGAAAAGGAATAGTACCCACCTGGCTATTCCTGGTCTGGCTATTAAATGGATTTGATACTGTATGGTTGGAAAACTGAATTATCTGAATCTAAACAGAGCTGAGGTTGTTTTATCCTATCATATATGGGCCCTAAATCTTTTCACTGGTTTATCCTTTTATGGCAAATTTCTATAATCAGAGCAAGTGGTCAGTAAAAGATCAGTGCAAGTGTGTGAGATCTTGCTGTTTTGATACCCCCAGACAACTGAAATTAAATCAGAAACATCTTCAGTTTGGTTTGGGGAGGAGAATTTCAGTGATAAATGAAGTGAAATTCAGTCTCTTGGCAAATTCATTTGTGTGACTATTGAACCCAGGGGTGGAAAAAGTCTACCTGCAAAAGTATCACTTAAACTTTTGAAAAAGTAGAGACAATCTGCAAGTCAAATGTAAATGATTTTAATGGGACTCTTACACTTTTACTTCTCCCTATATCTGGGCCCTGCAGCCTTTTCTGTCAGATTTGTGTCTTCCAGACTACAGGCCATTCATCTACAATTGGTAGCAAACAGTGCATACTAGCCAATGTCCCCTCATCAACCCATGGATACAGCCTGTGCTTGGTTCCAGTCAAGCTCCTCTTTGGGACCCCCTTGAGGCAGGGACAACTCTAGGTCCCTTGCCAGCAGGAAGCACTTCAGAAGCCAAGACCTTCTTCTCTTACCCCAAAAGAATTTGGGTCCCATTTGTTTGAGGGGGGAATGATGGGGATGGGATTTGAACTCCTAAAAAGAAAAGACCTTGTCTTTGAAATCTGGACCCCAGAAAAGAAAATTCCTGGACTTTTCCCAAATCTCTGGTGTTTGCCTGAGGCTGTAATCCACCCAACTGGCCTTTTATTGTGCTACACCCAAATCTCCCCACTTCCCACCTTTAATCCTATCTAGACTCCATTGTTCCTTGGACACTTAGTCCAGGTCCTTGGAGATCTGTCCTCCCCAGCTTACTGGCCACTCCCATCCAGATCCTCATTAGACCCATCCTCCAGTTACCCCAGACTACTTGGCCAACCCTAGATCTCTCCCACAGTCTTTCTATATATGTCATCTTATTTCCAGTAAGATTGTTAAGATCTGGCCCACTTGCATTAGCGATACAAGTGCTTAGATTCCTTAAGAGTCTGGCCAATTTGGCTGATCTTTAATAAACCTTGTCTTTGGCTGAAAATAAATAAATAAAGAAATAAATAAATGTTTATTGACTACAGGTGGCCCATTGGATAGAGCACTGGACCTGGAGTCAGGAAGACCTAAATTCAAATTTGGCCTCAGATACTCATTAGCTGTGTGACCCTAGGCAAGTCACTTAACCTTTGTCTATCTCAGTTGCCTCAGCCATAAAGTGGAGATTACAATAGCACCTTTTGTTGTTGTTATTCAGTTGTCTTAGTCTTGTCACCCTGACTCCATTTTGGGGTTTTCTTGGCAAAGACATAGTATCTGAGGCCACATTTGAACTTGGAACAATGTCTTCCTGATGCCAGGCCTGGCCCTCTATCCACTATGCCACCTGGCTACCCATAATAGCACTTATCCCCCAAGATTGTTTCGAGGATCAAATGAGATATTTGTAAAGGGCTTATCACGATCTCTTGCACATAGAAGACACTTAATAAATGCTTGTTTCTTCCCCTTATTTATTTTTTAAAGCAAAACACAC